GCCAGCGTTTTCTTAGTTCTCGCACCTGTGACATTGCATGCGCACGACGTTTGTCGACTTCTCGTGCAAAACTAAGTAGTCTATTGTCGATTTCTTCGCGAGTTGCCAGCAGATTCTTGTCGTAGCGCCATGTTGTGTTCCTAAAAAAATAATTACGACGTGCTCCTTCAAACTTTCTTTATCTAAAAGTGTTATAAACAGGGAATTGGATACCTCACCCCCGTGTACACATGGACAAGACAATAGGCCCTGCGAGAGGATTGTACCATGCACTATCCGACTTTGCTTCCAGTCTGCAAAAAGGAACTGTTGCTATAAGTTGTTGAACACAACCAAGGGGTATCAGATTAAGAATCCCTGTCACTTAGGGAAAGAAGCCTTCTCAGAGAGGTAGAAACTTCAATTCAATGTCAAGGTCACGAAAACTCACGTACGGTATTGGTCTCTTTCTGTAGGTTCGCAGTTGTGTCAGTTTCCAGTTATGTATCATAAAGTCACGTTCGTCATTCCATTTGCTGTTTGTCATCCAGTTATCGCGGGCCCATGCTGTTCCCTGAAAAATGCAAGTATGGGATTCGAAGAGGAAAAGATACGAACTGGTGCAAAGGCAAGAGTAGGCCACTAATAAGTGCCATTTTAGGTCTATTACTCATCTATGATTTCAAGCAGCGAAAACCGTTAAAAGCAAAACTACAGCTTGCTATTCGTGCAGGTAAGTAGTCTGAAAAGAGAAGAACTTGATACGCACCAGAACATTCTGATAGCTTTGTGGAAACAGTCACTGGTTTTTGGAAGATTTCAGTTATGAGCAAAAGTCAGACTCCAAGTGGGAGTTGAGCTTGCATCTTTCGCTCACCGGGAGAACGTATATCCATTAACTGGCCCCTCCTACCTTCTTGATTTTGCGCCACTGCCTTCCAGAACTCATACGTCTAGCTTCCACTTGTTTGATGCGTGTCAAGCTTTGCAAAACGATTGAGCAATTTTGCAGGGAGTGCTATTTCTACCATCCTTGACCACGCTGGACACCATCTCAAGTCCCGCCTCCCTCGATTACGCCCACTTTCCAGCGCGCTCAAGCTTTCCAAATTTTATACCGTAACTTCTGCTTCTGTGTTATTTTGGTGCTTTTTTGTTCTATCTCACTCATACTATAATTCATAGACGGCCACGATATCACGATTTTGGGCGCTATTTAGAGCTCTGCTAAGGG